TTTTCCAGATACTGTGTCAAAGCATCATTGCCAATCTATTCCTTTTGTTTCCAAAGCCAAGCACTTTATTTCAGACAATTGTACATTTAAAAATATCCAATTATATATTAAAAGTGAAAAGCAAGTGGCAATAGTGTGAATTTGTTTCCATTTTTGTAAACTAGTGAGACTTTAGAAGAAAATGCAGGACAGTAATGTAGCAGAATATTAGCAGAGTTATCTTGGCTAGGGTAGGAAAGAGTGGCCTTGAGTCAGTAGCCTACTCATATTATGTGAATGTAAAAAAATAAGAACTGATAATCTTTTTAATAGTAAGTGTAGTTTTAATGTGGAAGCAGATTTTCAAGATGTCTTCTGTGTGACTGTGTATGTATGTGTGAGGAGTTGACTTTCTCTAGACTTCAGGTGCTACTGGTTGTCTGCAATCAATTGTCATCTGTCCTTACTTACCAAGGTAAACTAAAAGTAAGTTCTTAGAGCAGTGTAGATTTTATTCAGGCCATGGTGCCTTCACAGGTATGTTAACCAAAAAACAAGGGGGCAGCAGGGGAATGGCAAACCTGACACTAAACCATGTACATTTTATTTGTAGTTATAAATTTCTGTAGTGAATGCATATTATTTCCTTTAGTACTGTTATTTTCAGAATACTCTCAGCTTAACCCAAAAAGCACAGTGGAATAACCATTTGAAGTTTTTAACTACAGGCATGACTAATTTTACTGTGCCTCACAGATTTTATGGGGTGTTTTTTTTTTCATAAATTGATGGTTTGTGGCAACCTTGCCACGAAAGATTATGAATCCCTGAAGTATCAGGTAATGGTTAGCATATTTTATCATCAAAGTATTTTTAATTAAAGTACATTGTTTTTTAGACATAATGCTATTGTCTACTTAGTAAACTGTAGAATACTGTAAATATAACTTTTTTATGCACTGGGAAACCAAAATAATTGTGCGACTCACTTTATTGCAGTATTCACTTCATTGTGGTCACATGGAACAAAATCTACAATGTCTCTGAGATACACCTGATGGATATTAATTTTATATTCTTACTAGTCGAGGTTTCAGGTTTCCAACTTACTCATATTTTATTTTTTAAAATATACTTTATTGACTATGCTATTACAGTTGCCCAAATTTTTCCCCTTTTGCCACCCTCTGCCTGGTACCCACCTTTCCTCCACCAGTCCCTCCGCTCTCCGTGCCTTAGCTCATGTCCATGGGTCATGCATATAAGTTCTTTGGCTTCTCCATTTCCTATACTTTTCTTAAAAGAAAGAACCCTGTCTATTTTGTACCTACCAATTATGCTTCATAATTCCTGTATCTTTTCCCCCATTTTTCCTTTTACCCCTCCTTGCTGGTAACTCTCCAAATGATCTCCATAGCTATGATTCTATTCCTGTTCTAGTTGTTTGCTTAGTTTGTTTTTGTTTTTGTTTTTATTTTTAGATTCAGTTGTTGATAGTTGTGAGTTTGCTGTTGTTTTAGTGTTCACAGTTTTGATCTTCTTCTTTTTCTTAAATAAGTCCTTTTAACATTTCATATATTAAGGGCTTGGTGATGATGAACTCCTTTAGCTTTACCTTGTCTGGGAAGCACTTTATCTGCCCTTCCATTCTAAATGGTAGATTTGCTGGATAGAGTAATCTGGATTGTAGATCCTTACTTTTCATCATTTTTGAATACTTCTTGCCTGCACAGTTTCTTTTGAGGAATCAGCGGATAGCCTTATGGGAACCCCTTTGTGGGTAATTGTCTGCTTATTTCATTTAGTGTAGACTTTGTTTCTTCCCTTATGCTTTTGCCATACTCAGTGAGCTCTCTGAGCATCCTTATCACCAGTGTTTTGACTCTGCATCTGATAGGTTGGCTATCGCTGTTAATGTTAGTTCTTTTTCTGGAGTTTTGTCCTGTTCTTTCATTTAAGCCATGTTTCTTTGTCTCCCTCCTAAATTCCGCAACCTCCCTGTGTTTGTTTCTGTGTATTAGGTAGAGCTGCTTCGACTGTCTTGGTGCACCTGTTACGTTGTATGGAGCGGAGCCTTGGGTAATTGCCAGGGCAGGGCACCCCCACTTCACTGCTCTGTAACTCTCGATGTCAGGGAGGGGTTGGAGAGGGGAGAGTGCTGCTGCCTGGCTACTGAGGTTTGGTCAGCACTCACCCCATTTCCAGTCACTTCACCCTCTTCCCGTATGCAGCTGGTGCCCCTCTAGCTGTTGCCCTGGTGGTAGTTCCCAGAGTGGGTGGGTTTGTGTATGTACTCGGACTGTGCAGGTCCTTTAATATGGACACTCCTGAGAGACTGGAAGTTTCTTCCGCTGCCCCAACCCCCACTGATTTTTGCAGCCAGAAGTTATCAGGCTTCATTTTTCTGCTACTGGAACCCTGAGCTGAATGGTCTGACCTGGGGCTGGGATCTCTCACTCTCCCGGTACCCCTGCCAATTTTTATCCACCACATGTGAATGTGGGACTGCCCATTCTGCCCACTGCCACCACCTCACTGCCTTCACACCGTGTCCTCTTTGCCATGGCTCCCTGGCTCTGCCCCTCCTGCCCGTCTGGATGAATATGGCTTCTTTAAATCCTTGGTTGTGAAACTTCCATACAGTTTGATTTTCTGGCAGTTCTGGGTGTTTGCTGTTGGGAGGTGACTTGTGATCCTTCTTATGGTTGTGCAAGGAGGTGAAGCATGTCTACCTACACCTCTGTCTTGACCGGAAGTCAGGTTTCCAACATAAAGAATCACACAAAAATATGTATGATGGCTAAGAATGTGTTTGGCATGTAGCATTTCTTAAGAACAACTTGATTGAAGAGTCATAGTAAATTTTAAAATTGAGTGTTCTTTAACTGGGTGATCCCATTTCTCTGAATGTATCAGTTGTATACTGGGGTATTTTGCCCAGTAAATTTTATTTCTAACATTATTTGTAAATTAAGGAAACATGAACGGAATCTCAATGTCCAAAGTAGAGGAATGGTTAGATAAATTTTGACATGTAACTAGAGCTAAGGTGGTGTATGACAGGGTATTACAGATCAGTAAATAAGATCCTTGAAGACTGGTTGGTAATGGGATATTATTGACAAAATAATGTTGACTATAAAAGGATAACATAAATCTTCATGCTTTAATTTGTTAATAATGTGTATGTGTGTGTTTGAGTGTAATTTTTTTTTATTTTCAACATTTCTAAGTGTTCTACAAAAATGAACATTAATTACTAACATTATGAAAATACTTCAATAATCTTAATAAAATTGGTAAAGAAAACTATTGTGGTTAGGTTTTTTCTTTGTAAACTATTGGTATTAATTTTTTTTAAAAAGATTTTATTTATTTTTAGATAGGGAGAGAAACATCAATGTGTGGCTGCATTTCATGTGCTCCCCCCCCCCACCTCCACTGGGGACCTGGCCCTCAACCCAGGCATGTGCCCTATGCTGGAAAGTGAACCGGCGACCCTTTGGTTCGCAGCCTGGCACTCAATCCACTGAGCCACACCAGCTAGGGCAGTAGTAACATTTTTTTTTAATGATTTCCTCTGTCAGAATATGTGAGAATTATTTAAAAATATTCTTTAACTTCAGATACCCAGTAATTTTTTTAAAATTTAGTTTTATTGAGATAGAATTGATATACAGCATTGTAAGCTGGACAGCATAATAATTTTACATACATTTATCATAAAATGATTACCATAATGTTTAATTAACATTCATCATCTTATATGGTCATATCTGCTTTACTCATTTAAAAAATCTGAAGATGAACGTGGATAGTGGTAATTCTTTCCTTCATTCTGATGGAATTTTACCCTCTTAACTACTTAGAGAATATCCTTTAATCATTGAGCTTTATAAATCTCAAGATGGCTATCTTAGTTTACTTGTATTATTCTTTTCTCTCATGAGGGGCATCCTTCAGTACTTTTGTAAGTTAGTTTTAGACAGCTTTGATGTTGTTGTCGTTGTTGTTGTTGTAGGTGTTCGCAGGTTTATTTTATATTTTAAGACAAAATAGCTTGTCATTTTTTTCAAAATATATTAGATTTTCAGTAAAATCATTTAAAAGCCATAGGGAAACCTATTGATCTTTGATAAGGTGTCATTCTTGTATGTGTGTGTTTACTCCTAATGCTCACTGTGGATTAATGATAAATTAGGGACAAGTGGCATTTGTGTATGTCTGCTCTTTGAATGTGAATCAATAGAATATATGACTACACATCCTGGTGGTAATACAAAAATAACAAGATTTGTGTGCACGCACCTGATTGTGCGTGTGTATAGTCGTAATTCACTGTGCTTGGAGTTCAAAGTCAGGAAGAGACAGTGGACTAAGTTGCAAAATAGCCCTTTCCTTGAAGAGGAAGGGCTTTCAGTTTGTGCTTGTATACTAAACAGAACTTTCAGTGTTAATTTTACATTTCTGTGTGATAAAATGTAAGGTTATGGAAACAGCTGTAAAAATAATTTGTCTGAAAGAAGTCTGGATGCAGTAACCTAATAGAGAAAATATTTGAGAATATGGTTCATCTGTGAGTGCACAAATACACTTCCCCAAGCACCGCATGGTGGAAGGGAAGAGAAAAAAATGTATAATATTCTGTGTGGGAAAGAGTAAGAGTATCTCAAAATCAAGTACAGATTTTATAATTGCATTATGTAGATTAAAAGATAAGTTGTATCTTCTCAAAGAATCCTTAGCAGTCTGAGGCAAGAGCTTTGCATCTAACAAAAGCCTGCCAAACGCTTTTAATACGTGGTGGTACATTTCTAACATTGGACTATCCACATTTGGGGATTTAACTCTTGCTTTTAAATAACAATGCAGAACTAATTAGTGAGGTCCATGGGAAAAAGGAAACCAGAAATTCGTTCCTGTTCACTTTTGGCCTCTGTGGGCTCCTCTGCATTTTCTGTGTGGTGGGATATTTCTTGGCAGCAAATTCCTTCTCTTACCCTGTGTGTGTTTTCTTTCAGTTTGTCCCATGAGGAGCACCCCCATAGCCACCCTCTCTATGGGCATGGCGTATGCAAGTGGCCAGGCTGTGAAGCAGTGTGCGAAGATTTTCAATCATTTCTAAAGTAAGAATCATTTTATATTGCTTTCTTCTTTTTACATAGCCAGCACTTCCCAATGTTAATGCTCTTCCTCATAAAATGCCTTTTTGCTGGAGGGTTTCACACCCAACTTGGAGGGTGTTTCTATATCAGAGGTCTGGCACGGCACGCTGTCTTGATAATTGTTTCAACTTCCAGGGAGGGCTGCAGTTTTCAAGAGGGAAGGGGCTACTCCCAAGGGCAGTTTGATACATTTAGTAAGAGCTAATGCTTACCAATGTTTTTTTCATAATGACTGTGATTAAAGAATAAGTCTCCCAGTATTAAACTTGCAGTAAATTAGTTTGCACTTTTTTTCATGTCCCTACATAACAAATAATCCTAACTCTACTTTTATAAAATGGATGTCAGTTACTGGTCAATTGCAGTTTGTTTATCGTGCCTCTTCTTTGTTTTCGTGCTAATGACGATAAATACAAGAAATAGATGCTGAGGATATGCCAGCAGCATGATTCTTACTTTTCTAATAATGCTGTTGACTTTTATTCAGATTTTTGTCCTTACGGGGAGTTTAATTTCCACAATTAAAGTATGACTAAAACTTGGGTTATCTCATTTGAATCTGAAACACTTGCAGAGGATCTCTGAAAGATACTGATGCTCTCTAGTCTAGGTGAAGTGAATGCTTCTGCACTACACCTTAATCCCTTACATCCTCTGCATTATTGACATCTCTCATAGATATACTGATAATATCATTGAAATTGACATGTAGACTGAATATACTAATCTATCATGCAACAAGCAAATGTATGTACAAATATAAGACTGTATATATAGGTGCATGACAGTTTACGAATGGAGTGCTGGAGGTTATTCTTTTCCTCTGGTTTTTCTCTCATTCAGGCCCCAGGAAACAGAAGCAGGCTAGTTTACATTCATTTGTCTGGCTTTGTGTGGTCTTTATATTCTTAGGACAATCTCTATATCTTTGTGGACTTGGATACAAATATTATAATAAAGCCACACTTTAGAGATATAGCTAGTGTTACCTGCAAATGAAGGAAATCTGTGAATCTATTTAATAGCTTCCCAGCTTTAATATTTTACTTTAAGAGCATTAAGAATGTAAGTACTTAATTACAATTTTTTAAAAAGAGATGCCTAAAGTTTTCTAAATAACAGTTGAGGTCCGTGATATTTTATTTTAAATTAAGCAATAGTCCTTTACAATTATTTGATTCAAGTTAGTGCAATTGAGCTTTCTTCTGCTTTAAATCACTCATTATAGAATCTTTGTATTATTTCCTGATCATTTGCCAATTCCTATTTAGGTATTAAGAGAAAAAGATCTTTGCAGAAACCACTTTTAAATTCTATCTTGGTGCTAATTTCACTCATCTATAAAATGGCTGAGAAACATCTGTAAATATGATACATTTATATAAAGCCTTTAGAACTATAAAATTGTTGTCAATAATTTTAGTGACACATATCAATTTCAGAGTCACAGGAAAGGGGCGGTTTTCCAGTTTGATCCACCTAAAAAATGTTGTTAATAACCAAAAGTATTTCCACCCTAATCCGCAAATCATAGGTCATTTATATGTGAGCTGACAATTAGGCAATACACACACACACGTATGTATATATGTGAAAGGATGCCTCCACAAGGAGACAGCACAATTTCAAACCACATCTAGTACAGAAGAAAAGAATCTGAACATCATTAGTATTGATCCCTAGACTTGACTTGATCCCTATGTTTTAAAAAAGGGCGATTTTCTAAGGATATTAGGAATCTCACTAATAGGAAACCACTTATCAAATACTATGGTTTTTACACATTACGTGACATGTTTTCAGCTCATGTTTGCTCAGTGGAATTTGAATGACCACTATCAACCCACAACTTTAGCTTACTTCCATACTAGTATACATACTTACTGACTTACATTTGTCAAAAGAATTTTGTTTTGTTCACAAGCTATAGAACTTCAACTTAAATTGGCTTAAGCCAAAAAAGAAGTATTTGTATGTGTGCGGATTCTGAGTGATAGTTGGCTTCTGTAACTAGGAAGTCCAGTGGTACGTAGCATTCAAGCATGGCTGCATCCAGGTGCACAAACAAGGTCTTTCAAGTTTTGGTTCTTTGTCTCTCTGCTCTATTATCTGTTGTGCTGCCTTCATTCTTCAGCTCTTTCTAAGTGGTACTGACTGAAGAAAACATTTACAGGTCACAAGTTTGTCAATCCCAGAATGCATCTCTCTTCCAGAAAAATTCCTGGGCAGACTGTCATTGCTCAGACTGGGTCATGTGTTCTGCTCTGAGCCAATCACAGTGATGGACCCAGAATTGCCTCTCATGCCCACCTGCAGAGCAGACGGAGATGTTCACTCATGTGGACTATATATTTAGTTCCTAAGACTGAAAAATGAGTATTGTAAACCAGCACAGAGAGAGTAAATGCTGAATAAGAAAAAAAACTCTCTAGAACTCAGTTTTCTTGGTGCTTTTGTGAGTTACGTGTTGTTTGGCCATGTATGACAAATTCAGGATTTTGATCTTATTCTACAGCATGAGTTTTACTATTGGAAATTCAGAGTCGTCTTCAGGTTTTGGTATCTTGCCTAATGTAGTGGAAAATTAGTCTTCTGACAGATTCACATCTCCTACACTATACGCAGTCCAAAGCGGAAGCACAGTGGCTTTAATGAAGCCAACTTTTCCTTCCAGTGAGCTGGACTGAAACAGTCACCCAACTTTTGCCCTGGCCTGTGTGGTTCAATTGGTTGCTGCATCATCCTGTAACCTAAAGGTTGCAGGTTCAGTTCCCCGTCAGGGCACATAATTAGGTTGCTGATTTGATCTGGTCTGGGCACCTATGGGAGGCAACCAACTGATGTTTCTCTCTCACATCGATGCTTCGTTCTCTCTAAAAGCAATTTCAAAAATGTCCTCAGGTGGGGATAAAAACAAAAAAGAGCCACCCAACTTCTTATGGTTCAGACAAAACCATGTGGCTTCTCTGAATGATGCCATCATGGAGTCATTGTTATTGGGAAGAGATGGTTTAAGCATTTCTTCTGAGATTTCCAGATTCATAGACTCTGAAAGCACCTCCTTGCTGGGCACTGCTATCCCTCTCTCTTTGGAGGTATTTTCTTATGATTTAAGCAAATTGACACCAGTGCTGCTTGGATTCTCCAAGGCACTCCTACAAAAATTAGCCTTGCTCTGACCTTGAAATAGGTGTTGCTTCATTTATTTTCTTCACCTGTATTCTAATCCCCTAATTTTAAACTCCCCTGGTCAGAGTGCATAACTAAATAACCCTGAATCGTACAACAGGCACAATTCCAAGTGCTTTACATATGTAATTCATTTAATCCTGACAAGCACTTTATAGTGATACTATTGTAATACTGCTCTCAACCTACAGGTAAGGAAACTAAGTCACATAGACATAAAGTCATATATTAATAAGAGGTGGTGTCATGATCCAGACTCGGGCATTCTGGCTTTATAGCCTTTGTTCTTAATGACGGCACAATACTGTCTGCTTAGAAGCAGGGCATTTTATTAACTATATGTTTTCTACTTAAGGCACTTGATATAAAGAAAACTTTGAAAAAAGTCAGTTTGGGTAGTGAAGCCACTTACGATTAGCGTGAGTGTGTTTTCTGAGCTGGTTGCATAGCATCTCCGAGCTTCAGTACCAGCTCATGTAATTTGGGATGACAGTAATAGTAACCACCTCTTAGGGCTGTTAGAATTTAAAGGTACATCATGTAAAGTGCCTAGCCCATACTAGACACTCTTTAAAAATATTCGTACTTCTCTTCTTATTTATCTAATTCAGTATATTGGAAACAGAGAGATAATTTAAGCTATCGAAACATTTCTGACCTTGTACCTAGGGATTATGCACAGCATTGATGTCTCAGAAAAGATTCTTCTTAATCATTTTTTTAACCATAAATTTCTGGTAAAAATTCCCACACAGTTCAATGTGGTTTTAGGGCAGGGGATAGCAAACTTATTTCATAAAGGACCAGACAATAAATACGTCTTTGTCACAGCTGCTCACCTTTGCCCCACTGTAAGCACACAGGCATCCATAGGATCACATGTAAGGAGAGGCTATGTCCCTTGGACCAGATTGCTCACCTCTGACATAGGGTAAAATTTTTGGTGTCATCACATGTTGAGCTGAGAAATCTTTTTGCGGTTCCTTGGTATTGCTATCCAGTGTTATTTTTGTTTGAATTCACAGAGCCCTTAAGTTTATTCCTGTTTGGCGGAATATCCATGCATGTCTTGCCTTTGCTTCCTTCTTACCAGCTGCAGTTTTTACACTTCCATGGGCCAGGGTTCCTCCTGGTTTTTAGAGCATGAGCGGGGGAAAGCGGTAACTTTATTTTCTCTTTTTTCTGATCTTCTGTTTCTCAGGCTACTAAGATGTAACGTTTAGAGAGGCCAGGATCAGGTTATTCAGGGTAAAAACCCCATCTGACAGTAAAATGCCACTGTTAACAGAGAGAGGGATTAAATACAGGAAGGGACAGGGAACTCACAGGTGTAAAGATAAGGCATATTTTTTGTTCCTCCTGAGAAAGAAATATCATTACTGTTGGTAAATCAAAGCCAGAGGTGTGGCACTTTTCTGTGACCATTCTGCAGTATAAGCCCAAGGTGAGGTGTATCCCAGGGCCCTGATTTCAAAGATAAATACTATACAGATTACCATGCTGTTGTCTTTCCTTCACAGCTCTTTCAGAATCAGCAGATACCCAGTCTGCTATATGCATTTATTTCCCTTTTTCTTCTCAAAACAAGTTGCAGTTTTAGTGTTGATTTTTTTTTTAATCTATCAACCATGAGTTATCATGTGACTGTTGTATTTGCTAGAGCTAACTGATACCAGCAGGTGCTCCTGCAAACTTTAATGAAATCCTCCAGCCCTGCATTGCTTGGAATCCTCAGATAACAGAAAACAAAAACAAGCCCAGTGCCATCCAGA